GGGATGAGTTTACCAGGCACATTCCTGCCCACAAGCTTCGGCACTCCTCTAAGACCAAGCAGTCCAAAGGAGCCCAAAAGAATGCAGAGAGTTTCCCCATGAAGGTACATCGATCCACGGATACCAGCAATCTGGATAGCAATCTTCTACATGATGAATATGGACGCAACTATAGCCCTGACGACAAGGATCACGACTATCGCCGGAGGCACGTTGTCAATGATAACCGTGGCTACACATCCGACCCACCTTCTCCACCAACTGTTGACAAGCCACCGGAGTATTCGCAGGTTTTGCAAGGGCCGGATCACCTTGCTCGCCCAACGTCGCTTAACACGCAACCAGGTCAGATTATATTCTGCAGCTCACTGGATCAGATGAAGGAGAACATGTACCGTTCTATGGTACCCACTCTTGTGATCCCGGCCCACTACATGAGGCTTTCGTCCGAGTTTGGTGCCACAGATCAGGGTAAAGATGGGTTGAACCAAGCGGACCGAGATGGACAGAGTTTGCAAGGTACAAGCAGTGGGATTCAAGGCCAAAACCATCAAGGCCAGACCCCTGGTTCAGGCCATACAGAAGCCCAACAAGGTGATTCTCCAGCAGGCTCTGATGAGAGTGTTTGGCCCCCCGGTGGACCACCAGCACCAGTTCACTTCCCTGTTTTGTTCAATGACTCCACCATCTCCCAGATGAACGGGGAGCTGCAAGCACTTACGGAGAAGAAGCTTCTGGAACTGGGGGTGAAGCAACACCCTCGTGCTTGGTTTATATCACTCGACGGACGAGCCAACGCTCACGTGCGCCACTCCTACATAGATGTAGGTGCCGATCTCAGCCACAGTGGAACACATAGTGGCAACCACAGCGCCCAAAGCACGTTGAGCGCCCCTGCCGAGAGTAGTAAAGACCGAAACGTAGATACAAGTCTCCAAGATACCCAACATGAGCGCAAGTCCGCATCCAGTCACAAGAACAAAGAGGAACACCACGGAAGCAGACGCAAGGGCCATGGAGGAAGTAGCTCCAGCAGTACAAGTGGTGGGAAACACTACTCCAAACCAACCTACCATGGCCCTCTGGACCTAAGTGGAGGAGTGAGCCGCATGGGGGCCAGTTCTCCACTGGAAAACCCTTTGACCCCTCTTTTGGATGACGGTCCCGAGGAACCCAGGTGGTCTTCAATGCCGAGAAGGGGTCGAAGCCGGGGGAACAGCTCACGTAGTAGCAACAGCGAAACGCAACGTGACTCTGTCACCAGCCCAGAAGATGACAATGACCTCGATGACAAGGATGAGAACAAGAAAAGTCCCTGGCAGCGCATTGAAGAGCGTCCCCTCATGGTGTTTCATGCCAAGAAGTAGAGCAAGAAATCAATCCCAGCAGCTGCCTTGAATAATTGGACAAACTAGAGATGTGTTCAAATTGATAATGACTGTTTTACAAATGTCACCCAATGATATTTTCACGGGCTGACTATTTGTGTTGTTATAATTTAATAGACGTTTCCAAAATGATTGTCATGCTTTTGGATTATTTTGGCTTTCTATGACAATATATTTTCACTGATCAATTTGAATGCATCTCAGGGGTCAAAGAACTCAAATTTGGTGGCATCATACCATCTTAGTGTTTTGCACACCAAGAATCACATTAAATTCAAGAACTAGTTATAGTGAAAAGAACGCCATTGCAGATGGAGGAATACAAGATACCAAACAACAGGGCGAGTGCATTAATATAAAGCACAACTCAACAACACAATATGCTGGTCTACAAGAGGAAGACTTTGTCTTACAGTCTTTCTATTTCCAAGCCAATCAAACTCTTACAAACAACTGCATCCAAAAGTACCCAAGTACCGTTTCACTCTCAATGGCTTTGTGATCGACTTTTTGAATGGATGGATTTCGCTAAAGCTTGAGTCTTCAATATGTTGGATCAAGGACTTGATGTTTTCAGAAACTTCACATTAAACTTTTAGAGACCCATTTTCTTATGTTCCGATGCAGTATATTCCTTGGTATCTCTTCCTAACTTGCTCGTTCTTCCTTCAATATTCATTATTTTGATGTCATTTCCTCAATCTTTCATACTAACTTTATGTGTTATGTGCATTGCCAATCTGAAATTTACAGTTCAGATTTCAAACATTCCAGATTTTTTACCGTTAGTCCTTAAGTAGATGAATTAAAATTAAATTAACAAGGCTCAATGTTCACATTTATGTGTGATGTGATGTTATAGCAATTTTGAAGTCATTACACAATGCATTTTCGATTTATTGTATTATATGTTATGCAGATTTGTATAGGAAAAGCTGATTCCAAATTAAGTTACTCTTCCCCAAGGACCCCAATTTCACTTACAATGAAAAAGCATCGACTGTAATACAGTAGATATTAATGTACATTAGCATTTTCAGTCCGCTTTTCATTTGTTTTAAAAGAGCCATTAGCATTTTGTGCATATGTATGATAGCCTATATGTGGATGAGATAACTAGTATAGGACAACAGATTTTTTTATGCCTACAAATTAAAATAGACACTATCAAAGCATGAAGATGGATATTAGATGCATCTGATACTGATGCCTGATGGGAAGAAATTTGCCAAAATGTTTAATTAAATATTATATACGAGTTTACAGGCCAGTGTTTGGCCAATGTATTTCCATCCAAACTTTTCCAACGCTGTTAATATTCACATTGTCTGCATTGCATTGACTGTGACAAAAGTCTGACTTGGATCATTTTAATAAGCCATTCAAATATTAAAAGCTAATAATTTATGACACTTCTCAATTGTACTTTTAGCTATTTACTTTACTTTATTTTTCTCATGTTTACCATTATTAAATCAAGCACAAGTCATGTCATTTTTAAAGCAACATTTTATGAATAATTAAGACAAATTTACAGGGTACTGTAAGGAGCATGAAGCCTGAGACACTGAACTATTTGACGACTATCAAGCATAATACAAAGAGACTTTTACTAAAATAGCGCTGCTCATGCTGATCTGGTGCCAATCACATGTAGAGCAGTGATTAACGCTGTCTCTTGTGATGATTGTCAACTAACTATAAATGATACCACGGTTGCAACATGTCTCGTGTCATTTGTTTTGCAACCCTTCATAACTTCCTTATAATAACTGAAACAAAAATAACTGGAGCTGAGATTAAGTACTGGATTGTCTTTTACAAAGTTGGCGATTAAGAGTAGGAGTTAACATCTAGCATAAACTGTAGTTGTGGAATTCTCCAGAGGATTTTAGTACGTTTTATATTATATACTAGGTGCTGACACCTTTAAACCCTACATACAGTCTCAATGTCTAAAAACTGACCCGTAATTTAACTGATTTTAGATTTGCACACTCTTTTTAGCGCGAGTTTCACTCAAACTTACTAGAACTGAAATCAAAGCCATTCTCTTCCTCTATCTGTTTATTTTGTTCACAGCCTGTGGGCAATTTACACAGGAAATATCAATATGCCGTTGTCAATGTACATTTATTATGTGATGTGGTGCTCTGAATTTCCCTCTGTACTGTGTAAATATTTCTCTCTTTGACTGAATATGAACATGACTCTGATGATATTATGTTGTTTCCATTGTGCACAACAGCTTTGCTTAATTGTTCGAAAATCATGTCAGATGGAACTTTTGTAATTTTATAATTTGTTCATAATATCCTAGAAGAATAAAAAAAAATCATTTGTGAAATTGTGAATGGTTTCACTTCTGACGTGCCCAAAAGTCATGTGCTGTACAATAAAGAAATTCCATTTCTTGTGGGGTTTTCCTTAATTTCTGTTTTTATTAAAAACAAAACTCAAAGTAGGAATCCTGAATCTTTTTAACCCATGGAATATTGCAAATGTAAACATAATTTTCAATCTTTTGTAAGTATTAATATTTTAGAATTTTTAGTAGGCATTTTTAAAACTTGTACCGGTCACATATAATAACAAAAGACATTATAAAGAAAAATTGCATTGATGCAACAAGTTATTTAGCAAGGAAAAATTATACATAAAACATATTAAAAGAGTGAATTCACTTTAATGACATCTGACATTACCTGTAGACCAGATATTACCTACAGGCAATTCACATGCTTTTTTGCACTAAAGTCTGGCATGATCTGGGTGATGTTTGATTCATAAAATAATTTTAAAAAGGAAGAAATCAAGGAAAAAATGCATATACTTAATCAAATATACAAGTTTAAACTTCAATTAAAACCACAATTAAGAGACCATTATTAGATGTGTTATCATAGACCAGGTCTGAAAATGACTTAGGAGGACCCCTGGCCTACAAAGTTATATACTTTTCTACCTTTTTTTTTTTTTTTTATCCCTAAAGGGTGCATATTAGTACCTAAAATGATACATATTAGTATCTTTGTACTTGACTGTAGAGTTTCTAGCTCTAGCTAATTAAACATGGTCAAACTTACTAACAAAAGCCTTTATGCTCACTTGAGGCAAACAAGATTCCTTCCAAACATTGTTTGTTTTTAACCTCTAGGTCACACCAGAAGTGCCATAAGAAAACTGTACATTGCTTTGGATATAATCATGAACTAAATGTCAAAATAGTGCAAGGATGTTCAATACAGCCTCTTGGAAATCTACCATTTCTACTCTTACTCTAAAATACCGGTCTGCCATTGCACAAATACCAACGATGACATTAAACTAGTTTGTTGGTTCAGGCAGGCGTTAAGCAATCGTTATAAATGGGAGAAAATGTAGACTTTCACTTAAAATCGTATACATTCCTATCTTTCTTTATGAAAGATAATCAGCGTTTGCTGAACACCCAGAATTAGCTGTACATACCACGCAGCAGATTTGAAGTTGCGCTCCAGGCCGCGTGGCGGCGCTGATTTGACGCGTTAGATTCGTTTACAAAGAGGAGGAAGAGAAACATTGCAAGTGCACGCAGGTCAATGTGATGTACACAAATAATGGGAATATATTTATCTAGCATTATTATAGAGTCCTCAAACCCTTTAGATACGTTCTATTAAGCTCCATGTTTGTGTTTTAAGGTTTCTTTGCGGCTCGTCTTTATTTTCGTGTACAAGTTTTCTATTCAGAAACGCGTTTGTAATGTCTGTTTGCAGCATATGAAGTAACGTTAGGTTATTGCTGTTGGGTAAGTGCGCTTTCTGCATGTTTTTAACATTTTAAAATGTCAATACTGTTTATTACCATCGTTGATCACATTATTATTGTGCTATGAGTGTTTTTTAACCCAAGCAAAATGTGTTAACTAAGTTTTACCACTCAGTGTCCAGCTATAAACAAGACAGCCATCATAATGTAGGTAGTTGTTATTATTAGAAATATTACCTACTACTGTACTGTATTTAATTACATATTTAGAAGCACAAATTTTAAATGTAATTCCAGTGGAGGCCGCTAGACGGCGCCACTGATCAATATTCCCCAGCCTCATACTTGTCTGAATTATATGTTAGTGAGTAAATGACCATGATTTGTGTTTTTCAGCATGTTTCTGGTGGGTTTAACTGGAGGCATCGCCTCAGGGAAGAGCACAGCGTCTTCACAACTGAAAGAGCTGGGCTGTCCTGTCATCGATGCAGATGTGGTTGCCCGAAAAGGTGTCTAGTGCTGGTGGTTTGTCTTTAGTACCATTATTTTGTAAAGAAATTCATATGTAGGTTTTTGTGTTTTGAAAAAATGTATTTAAAGAAATCATTAAAAAAAGCTAGGCACCATTTAGAAAACTAATTTGAAGCATTTAAACATAAAACAATCATTAAATGGGTCATGACTTTAGGTCCTAATTTTTTTTTTTTTACATTTTGTACTGTTCTCTGAGTTCCGTTTATAATCTTATCAAGATTTTTAACATAAAAAAACTTCATAATTTAGAAGTAATAGGCTATTTTCTGTCCTGTTTTCGCTCTGTTTGAATAGGTGTGGTGGATTGTAGACTCAGAAGTAAACGCACCTCTGCTCTGATTGGCTAACAGCTGTGTGTGTTTGACAGCTACATCCTTCATAGATGGACGCTGCTGTGATTTAGGTTAAAAAACGCATAAATACTAAGTACAATCAAACGATCTGTAATAACAGACGAAGCAATAGTGAGTATGTAATGAAAACAGTAACTCACACTGGTGTGGAGCGACTGTCAGATCCAATATAGTCGCACAACATCGTCTTTTAGTTTCAATCTTTCTGAAAATCCTGTGTCGAATTGTGCCTTGTTTGTAAACTAATCTAATCTAAGTTCTTACTGATGCGGTCTGGATCTTCAGTAAAAATAAAGTTCATCCACTCTTTCCTAATGTTGGTATCAGAAGGAAGGCGATGCAAAGACTGTTTTTCCACAGCTTGGCACTGAACAGCGTCTTATTGTCTTCAGAGCATTTTTATCGTTTGGTTTCTGTGTAGACCTGCATTTGCCTCTCGTTATTTACACTACATGCGTGAATCGGTGGGCGGGGCTAAACAGGCAGTGATGTAGAAGCAGGTGTTGATCTTCTTCTGCGGAGGCGGGGTTTAGCCACACTATTACATCATAAAGTGGCACATTCCACAACCTGTCGTTTTGGCTTCAATATAAGCCGTTTTTAAACTAGCGAGAAAGTTTAGAGTTCTGAAACTTACAAGATGTTTTATGTCTTGTATGTCGAAAGATCAAGGGCATTTTTATTTCTCAGTTTATGATCCCTTTAAAATAGTTTTTTAGATTATAAATGAATGAAAAATAAAAAATTCAATTCAATTTAAAATCTTAAATAACTTTAGGAAGTGTGTGTATTCTGAATTTATTTGTTATAAACTAAATATGAAATAAATACAATATATAAATGTAATAATTATAATAAAATATTTTTAAAATAATTAAGTGAAATATATTTTAATATTTTAAAATAATATTATATATAATTTAATATACATTTATTAACTTAATACGTGCTTTATTTGTGTGATTTTTCTTTGTGCATCAGTGGTGGAGCCCCAGAGCCCAGCGTATAGATTGATCGTGCAGCACTTTGGACAGGAGATTTTGTTAGACAATGGTGAGATTGACAGACAGAAACTGGGGCAGATCATCTTCTCCAGCCCCAAGAAACGAAGACTTCTGAACTCCATCACACACCCAGAAATACATAAAGAAATGTTCAAACAAATACTGCTGTACTTCATTAAAGGTACACTCACAAATGCATAAAATCAAATAAATTATTATAGAAGTGTGTGCCAAAATCTCACGAACTAATGTTTGTGTTTGTTGTTCTTTAGGCTACAGGTATGTGGTTTTGGATGTGCCGCTGCTTTTTGAAACCTGACGTCTCACTCGTTTCCTAACCCACACTGTTGTCGTATACTGGTACGATGTTCATTTTCTCTTTCTTTGCTCGCTATAACATCAGTCAGATTGGGTTGAATGCTTTATAGTGGACCGTGTGTTAATTTAGTTTTTAAAGCAGATGTCAAAATAACATTGAAAGCAGGGTCTTTCAGTGTTATTTTAGAATTATTTATATATAGTTTATTAATATTTTAAATAATTTTTTTTAATTTTCAGTTTTCTTTTTAATTTTAGTTTTAATAATTTTATGTGCTTCTTTAATTTTTATTACTTGTTTAAAAATATTTCTGTTTATTTTATTTCGTTATTAAATTTGTTTTATTTTTTAAAATTTTTTTATAATTTAGTACTTCAACTTTTCAGGGAAGGAAACATTTCTAATTTTTGAAATTAAAACTTTTATAAAAATTTGTAATCTAACATTTATATTTTATTTCAGCTGTGTTTCAGTTAAAGGTGCTGTTATGTAATTACTAAAGCATAAAATTGCCATAGTACGTTTGCAGATATTTAGTAAACATGCCAAGTTCACACACAAGGCTACAGCCAGTTATTCTACTTAGAAATGTGCGTTTCATGTTGGAATGACTGTTTTTGGTCTGTGTGGCTCCGCCCACTGCCAGTTCACCCAATAGTATTTCAAAAGCCCTGGTTGCCAGTTGGCAGAAAACATAGCATTTTGCAGCCATGGAAGCCAGTAAATGAACTGGGTCAGAGGTCACAGATTCTACCAGACGTAAAAAAAAAAGCTCAGTGACCAGAGGAACATTAAAACGCGGATAAATCAACTCATCAGCTTATAGTGTAATGCTCGTCGCCTTCCATTGACAGCTGCACTCGTTCCTGTTGTGTGTCCTCAATCTGGCAACCTGCATGTCGAGTCTGAGAAGGAGGGGCTGGAGAAACAACTCTTTCCAATATTTTAAATTTCAACCAATGTCAATATTACATACAGCACCTTTAACAGTTTGAAATAATTTTAGTTAACAGTTGTAACACTGGGCTCTTCACCTCATGAGTCTGTATTTTGGCAGTGATCCGGCGACGCAGCTGTCCCGCCTCATGCAGAGGGATGGCCTGAGTCAGGAGGAGGCCGAACAGAGAATCGGCGCTCAGATGCCACTCAAAGAGAAGCGCGGACTCGCCAGTCACGTGATCGAGAACTCGGGCTCTCGTGAGGACACTCACAGACAGGTGCTGCGGCTGCACACCAAGCTCAAGGACTTCATGGAGTTCCTGGTCGTCAGGGCTGTCGCCGCGGCAGCCGTCGCCGGGCTCAGCGGTCTCTTTTTATATACAGTCAGACTGCTGGTCTCTTAGCAAACATACAGAACTGCTTTCACAACAATGGCAATAGGACTTAAAGGGATAGTGCACCCCAAAAAAAAAATTCAACATTCTGTCAACATTTACGTATTCTGTATACTTTTCATTCTTCTGTGGAAGATTTGACAACGAACAACATTGGACACCATAGCTTTCAGTTTATGGACAGAAAACCCCCACAATATTTATTTTTCATGTTCCACAGAAGAAAGTCTGTCTTATAGGTTTGGAACAACGTGAATAAACGATGACAATTTTAATTTTCAGTCAAAAAAACAACGAAGAATATGATTTTATTGTTGTCTAAATCATTTTTATTTTACTTTATTTGATGTTTAACCTCACTTTTTTCCTTGATATTCTGACCTCACCACTGACAGCCTGAGCTACATCTGTGAAAACGCTATAAAATTCTGTAATCAACACAATTACTGCGATATTAGTCCTAAATGTAACATACTGTACTGTATAAAATGGAACTATGACAACAATGCTACTTTTTTACCTCAACACACTTTTTGTTTAAACATTGTGAATTCACGCATACATTTAATGGACCGAATGTATTAATATCTTCTGCTGCTCTTTGTTAATGTCAGATATTTTAATCTATATCTGAATTAAACTGTCACAGAATGATCTGTTGCATTAAATTCATTCTTTGTGATGCTAAATGACCCATCCAGCGATATGCATATGTAAAATATATACGTCAACAGGAGAATCACTTTGATGTCAGTAAAAAGCACAAGTACTGTTCAGTAGATTTTCAGGAAAATTAAGCAAAAGTTTTCCACACTCTAAAAAGCAGGGTTATTATAATTAAATAAAACTAATACTTTGTTTTTACTAGTTTTTTATTTTTTTTTTAAGTAGTTTTCACTAAACTAATACTTAAAATAAATGTTAACTGAAAAATATATATATATCCTCAAACTTATTATATTTTAGTTAAATCTATATCTGAATTAAACTGTCACAGCATGATCTGTTGCATTAAATTCATTCTTTGTGATGCTAAATGACCCATCCAGCGATATGCATATGTAAAATATATACATGTCAACAGGAGAATCACTTTGATGTCAGTAAAAAGCACAAGTACTGTTCAGTAGATTTTCAGGAAAATTAAGCAAAAGTTTTCCACACTCTAAAAAGCAGGGTTATTATAATTAAATAAAACTAATACTTTGTTTTTACTAGTTTTTTATTTTTTTTTTAAGTAGTTTTCACTAAACTAATACTTAAAATAAATGTTAACTGAAAAATATATATATATCCTCAAACTTATTATATTTTAGTTATTATATTTGCCAAACAAAAATGAATAAAAACAATAGACATACCAAAAAAAATTAATAAACGACAAAAACACAAATGTCAAATGATAAACTATAAAATAAACTATAATTTTATTCCAATGATACTAAAATAACACTGGTAAAAAAGTGGCAACGTGCTGCTGTCACCTAATGCAACACAAAATTATTATTATTTTTTTTTTAAGTATAAATTGGTGTATTTAGGTTGGTTCAGTGATGTTTAATAACTTTTTTTGACTAATAAAACCAGTTAATTTACATGTTACCATTTTTTCAGTGCATGTGAATTTAAAGGAATTACAGGTTTTGTTGCTGCAGTTCCATTTTTTTAAGAGCGTTTATGCATGTCTCACAATATGAATAATATACATGTACATCAGATGGACACAGACAAATATGACAGTTATGAGTTCTCTCTCTCTTTCTCTGTCATCTTCACTCAGTCCTTCATCTTCAGGGTTGGCCTATGGTGATGTTCTCTGTCTTTAATAAGCTGTTCTTATGCTAACACAGAGTGACGCGGACCAGCGGCCCTGCACAGTAAGACCTCTGTGTGTGTGTGAGAGAGATGGTCAAGGTTTTAAGATTGTGCATCTGTCTTTATGCAGTGAATGAATATTGTGTGTGTGTGTGTGTGTGTGTGTGTGCGAGTGAGTGAGTGAGTGAGAGAGAGAGAGATGGTCAAGGTTTTAAGATTGTGCGTCTGTCTTTATGCAGTGGATGAATATTGTGTGTGTGTGTGTGTGTGTGTGTGTGTGAGAGAGAGAGAGAGAGAATGCGGTCCTGTCAGAGTGCTTTTCTGAAACAAACAGAATCAAATGTCTGCATATCAAGAGCTAAAGTATCTAGAGTGAAAAGTAAACTTTTTGAACACTGTCACTTTGAGAAATGTTATGGGTGAAATTCACAGAAACGTCTGGGTAAACCTCAAAAATCACAAGCAACTAAATAAGAGATTATATTTTTTAGTTTTAGGACCATTTTGATTTTAAGATGATTGCATTATCTGTATGAATACATACAGATTTTTAATTAAATAATTTGTTCCTCTATTATAGTGGCAGTACAACAAATACTACAAAGATGTAAATTGTAAAAAAATTGTAAAATGTAAATCATTTAAAATGTATATTTATTCCTGTGATTTAAAGCTGTATTTTCAGCATCATTACTCCAGTCTTCAGTGTCGCATGATTCTTCAGAAATCATTCTAATATGCTGATTTGATGTTCAAGAAACATTTCTGATTATTATCAATGTTGAAAACCGTTGTGCTGCTTCATATTTTTGTGGAAACCATGATGTATTTTTATTTTTAAATTCTTTGATGAATAGACGGTTCAAAAGAACAGCAAATAGAACTGAAATATATATTTTTTTGTATCACCAGTATTTTGAATAAATTATTTATTTGGGACGGGCAGCAATAGAGAAGCATTTGATTCCGTTTACTGGGAGTAACTGTGTGTCCTGTAGATATTTTCTAGACCTCTCTCTCTCTCTCTGTGGTCTGCAGGCTTGTCCACATCATAACACACTGTCGCTGGTTGAGTCACCCAGTCCTATCACACCAACTCAGCTGGAAAACACCCACTAAATGAGAAGTGACAGCTGCTTTGTGTGTGTGTGTGTGTGTGTGTGTGTGTGTGTGTGTATGTTTGTCAGTGAGCGTGGATTTCGGCCCGTATGTGGGCACTTATTTGATATACTGAATTTGACTTAAAGTATGGGATAAAAGTGCACATCAGAGCTTGAGATGAGTGATTAAGCGCATTCCCATGAATTCCTGGCAACACTTGTGGTGGTTTTCATTAAGAAAATTAACAAACTTTGACCTAGAATGATATTCTACATTCATCTACTCATGCTCTTAAAGGGATAGTGAAACCATGATGTATTTTTATTTTTAAATTCTTTGATGAATAGACGGTTCAAAAGAACAGCAAATAGAACTGAAATATATATTTTTTTGTATCACCAGTATTTTGAATAAATTATTTATTTGGGACGGGCAGCAATAGAGAAGCATTTGATTCCGTTTACTGGGAGTAACTGTGTGTCCTGTAGATATTTTCTAGACCTCTCTCTCTCTCTCTGTGGTCTGCAGGCTCGTCCACATCATAACACACTGTCGCTGGTTGAGTCACCCAGTCCTATCACACCAACTCAGCTGGAAAACACCCACTAAATGAGAAGTGACAGCTGCTTTGTGTGTGTGTGTGTGTGTGTGTGTGTATGTTTGTCAGTGAGCGTGGATTTCGGCCCGTATGTGGGCACTTATTTGATATACTGAATTTGACTTAAAGTATGGGATAAAAGTGCACATCAGAGCTTGAGATGAGTGATTAAGCGCATTCCCATGAATTCCTGGCAACACTTGTGGTGGTTTTCATTAAGAAAATTAACAAACTTTGACCTAGAATGATATTCTACATTCATCTACTCATGCTCTTAAAGGGATAGTTCATCCAAAGATGAACAATGTCATTTGCTCACCCTCATGTTGTTCCAAACCTGTATGTGAAACACAAAGGTCCATGCAACAACAGTTAAAGGCTTCCAATATTGTTTGGCTGTTTTCTTCAATATGGTCTTCTTCTGTTCGACAGAATTAAATGCATTCAGGTTTGAAACAACATGAGGGTAAATAAATGATAAGAGAATGATGACAAAGTCTTAAAACAAAACTTACTCAACTAATGTAAGGAAAGCATTACAGTGCTTTGGATCTGCTGAGAATAAGACACATAAAAAAAACGTCTTGGTTTATTTTGCCAAGGTTTAATGTTGCATTGAAAAAGCTCAGTGGTCATTGTAAATTTCAATATAAATGTCAGTTTATATATTGCATATCTTGACTTTTTTTTATTTATTTTAGCAATTTTAATACTCGAATTACTAAATTATTGTAATTTGATTCATTTTAAATAATTTCATTAGAAGTTTACTGAGGCTGTTGCCCCAATTATATTTATTTGTACTTTTTTCACTGTAAAAAAAAATATGACTTAGTATTTTTGTCTTGTTTTCCATTACAAATATCTACAAATCCCTGAAACAAAAAAAACATTTGAGTAGATCGAGTAGAAAAAAATGAGTTAAGATAGTCTTGTTTTCTGAAAATGGAGTTTAAAGTTGAGAGTTAGAACAAGAAAAAAAATCAAGTTTTTCCGTTTTCCCCCTACATTTATATATTTTTGTGTTAAGCATATTCTCACTTAATTTTCATACATTTTTCAGAGAACAAAACTTAATATCCAACTCAGTTTGCTTATCTGTATCTAGATATTTGCATTAGAAAACAAGACGAAAACACTGCTGCATTTTTTGCAGTGTGATTGTGTTGTGCAGAGCAAAAATGCCCAATAATTAATTTAGAACATTTCTACATGAATCCCATTAAATAACCATTATTTATTTCACTTTTTTATGCAGGTCAAATCACAATTTTACCAGTTTTTGGAAGAATGGGATCAATCTATTTATCTATCTATCTATCCATCTATCTATCCTTTCTTTGGCATTTTTAAGCTTAAGGACCAGAATGTGCAATACTATTAATATTATTGTTCGATTTTATTAACTGGAACAATCTGCTGAAAGCGAATTTCACACATTTAGTAGGCTATATTTAGTAATCACAGCAGCGCTTCCGCTTGTCATTTACAGTTTGGGGGCCGCCCGAGCAGATAAAGCACCAGCGGACCCGCATGCAGCCCACCTGCCGGCCCGAGCTCAGCGGGCCACGTCTCGCTCTGAGCTAAAGGTGAGATCTGCTCCGCGTCCGCTTTTACTGACCTTTTACTGTATGAAAACTGAGACAGCTGCTGGTGTCATTGGCCATGAGAGGAGGGCCAAGCAAACGTCTTCATCTGCTCTGCAACGTGTTACCTGAAGCCTTGACATTGCCAGCTGACATTTACTTGAACTGAGCGACACAAAAGCATGGGAGGAGATTGATAATATAATTCCACCAATCACAAGAGGCCCCGCCCCTTCATCGCAGACAGCGAGCCACGCCCATCTTCCATTTCCACACCATATTAAACATTATACTGAATGAGAATGTAATGTAATTTGTTGTATTTAACATATTCAAAAAGTCTTTCGCATTTGTTGCTACACTTTTGTATTTTGAAATAAGAGTTGAAAACATACTCAAATAAAAAAAAAAATTCCTCCCTAGTTCAAAATAAAAAAACAATTTTGTAACTTATTTAGATTAACATATAGCCTACTAATATAACAAACTGAAACTGAAATAAAATGAAATAAAATAAAATATTATAATTTAAAATAAAATTAAATAGAAATATTTTTAAAAATGATAAAACTGATAAAAACAACAATTATTAAAAAAAACTTTAACTAAAATTAAAATGAAAACGGAACATATAAAAATACATATTAATTCAAAATAGTAATAAAAGCTATAAAAATCTAAATTATAGTATCTCAAGTAGTATACATTACTCTGAAAGCATGAATAGCACCTACCAAATAGTTTTGTCCTGTTACAACCGCTGGTTTTCCAACTAATTCTTTGACAAAATTTGATTTTAAGTTTCATTCTGCTTTTGCCAATACAGTGCTTTAATGTGAAATGTGTTTTTAGAGCTTCTGTATTGAACACTGTAATTATTCTCTTAAACTCTTGTTGTTTCACAAACACTTGCAGAGATTTTGATCTTTCCCATTCAGTGACATGGAATTATGTCTGCATGGCTAAAAATAGCTGCTTGAGGGCGTTACAAAAATGACTGCAAATATATATGGCTTTCAGTATTGATAAACTAATATATAAAAGTAAAATGTGAAAGTTCAGCAAACCTTATAATGTTTCTGGCTGTGCTGCTGCAGCTGTTTCACAGATCCTTCTGAAGAATCCCAATGTTAGATTTAGGAGCTTATTTTCATCATCCATTCGTCATTTCAGTCTGATATCAACAGTGTGATGTTGTGGAGGCTGTTACTGAAGGACAGAGCAGTTAAAAACTATATTAAACCCAAAAGCAGCCCATGTGTGAGTGAAACCAATTACTAAAACTAATTTCACATGTGAAAAGGGCAGTTGCATGAAAGTCTTAAAGGCACAGCAGCAAAAACAGCCATGCAGGAAAATAAATAAATTGATGAACTACTAAATCCTTACAATTAGATTTTTTTTGAAGTTTTAAATAAAATATTGGAGTATGTATTACAAGGACTATTTAATACTAATTAACTATTTATGCCATTCCACTTCCAAATTTTATACTTTACGTTTTATTCAATGTGTTACTTGCCATTTATTTGTATTTATGTGTGATTTTTTTCTAGTAACTTCTGAGTGAAAACTGTTTTAAAGTGAATGCTATAGGCCTATATCCTATCCTGAATTGTATTATATGACTCCTTTAAAATATCTAGTACAATTTAACAAGTGTTTTTTGTTGTCAGTTTTTAGCATATGACAATGGCAAACTTTGAACAAAGATTCCTGTTATTGATAATCACATTACTGAAGAATATTGGAGTATGTATTACAAGGAAATACTATTTATGCCATTACACTTCCAAATTTTATACTTTACGTTTTATTCAATGTGTTACTTGCCATTTATTTGTATTTATGTGTGATTTTTTTCTAGTAACTTCTGAGTGAAAACTGTTTTAAAGTGAATGCTATAGGCCTATATCCTATCCTGAATTGTATTATATGACTCCTTTAAAATATCTAGTACAATTTAACAAGTGTTTTTTGTTGTCAGTTTTTAGCATATGACAATGGCAAACTTTGAACAAAGATTCCTGTTATTGATAATCACATTACTGAAGATCTTGCAGGCCGGCAATGAGGGCGCTGTTAATGTAAGCAGGTGTCCTGCTGTATAGTCTCAAGTCTGTCTCGGTGAGATAAGAAAAGCGGACTTATCAAAGGGGTCTGGAAATGCCATCGCAATTTCATTATGCATGAAAATGACCTTTATCTCTGCCTGTCTAAAAACAACCCTACATTGACTTGATCTGCTGATTTCTTCTGACTTCTAACTTTAACAGAATAAGAGATTATTCTATGCGAGCTGAAGGTTTTAAAGACTTGCTTTCGCAAAAGCTCAACAGGCTATGTTACATATTAACATCATGTTTCATCATTGTTTTCACTGCAGGACAAAATGTGCAAGTGTTCAAGGAATATTTAACCAAAAAATAAAAAATTGCTTGAGATTTACACCAAGACACGGAGGATGGAAAACAAACAGCCGATGACTGACAGGCGAGAAAAGTAACAGTCTGAGATCCCATCGACTGAGGTCTGCCAATTACAGGCTTCCTACGGTGAAACAATGATGAAACATGACATAATGCATAGCCTGTTGAGCTTTTGTAAAAGCAAATCACAATGGAAAGTATTTAAAGGAATAGTTCACCCAAAAATGGAATCTTGCTGAGGGTTTATTCATGCTTCGGCCATCCAAGATGTAGATGAGTTTGTTTCTTCATCAGATTTGGACATCGTTGCTCAGCAATGGATCCTCTGCAGTGAATGGGTGCCGTCAGAATTAGAGTCCAAACAGCTGATAAAAATGTCACAATAATCCACAAGTAATCCGCACCACTGAAAAGCTACGTGTTTATAAAAGAAACAAATCCATCATTAATGTGTTTTAACTTCAAACCATTTCTTTTGGCTAAAATACGAGTCTATAATCCATAATATTGCTTTCTCCATTCTCTCCATCAGGAGAGAAATATGCACAGATTAAGCACCATTTACAAGTGAAAACGGTTTAAAACAGTTCTAAACAAATATGTGGTTGTATTTTGATGTGAGAGGACAACAGGGGATGGACTTTTTCTCTGGATGACGTGTTATTATGGATTATGGACCCGTATTTTAGCTGAAAACAATGGTTTGAAATGAAAATGTCTTAATGATGGATTTGTTACAAACAGCTTTTTACTTCACAAGCCATTAATTGATCAGTTGGAGTGGTGTGGATTATTGTGATGTTTTATTCAGCTGTTTGGACTCATTCTGACGGCACCCATTCACTGCTGAGGATCCATTGGTGAGCAAGTGATGCAATGCTACATTTCTCCAAACCTGTTCAGGTGAAGAAACAAACATCTACATCTCGGATGGCCTGAGGGTGAGTAAACTATCGGCAAGTTTTCATTTTGGGGCGATCTATTCCTTTAAAAAAAAAAATTCCGTGCGATTTGCTTTCACAAAAGCTCAACAGGCTATGCATTATGTATTATCGTCATGTTTCATCATCGTTTCACCGCCGCAAGCCTGTTATTGGCAGATCTCAGTCGATGAATTGTTTGTATTGGGATCTCAGACTGTTACCTTTCTCACCTGTCAGTCATCGGCTGTTTGTTTTCCATCCTCCGTGTCTTGATGTGCGCGTCGGCGGGTATCTTTGTGTCTGAGATGACATTCTGATTGCGATGACTCTAATTTGAGGATACACATAGACACCCCCAGAGGAAAGGAGCAGGGGCTTGTGGGTAGACTGACCTCTCCTTGATGTTTGGTTATTGGCTATTTAGCAGACGCTTCTTATTATGAACAGCGACTTACTAAGTACACTTACCACAGGCAAAGTCCTGGGGTTAAACACCCGGCTCAAGGTCACAGTGGGGCAATTTTCCAGGTCACCAATCGCCCCTTCTAGGAATCTACAACAGATTTTAATTGAACTTACAGTAAGCTGACTGACTGGAAGGGTCATATTTGACATCTAACATGAAAAATGGCTTTTTACCAATTCCATGAATCTCTGGCAAGTCCAGTGAATAGTTTATCCTCAGAAGAACTCATTATTGCAGATGGAAACTGACTTTGTCAGCTATCCAATGACTTTTTTTGTGTGCAATCTGCATCTGATGGTCAGTGGGCGGTCAGCGGATGTGCCATCTGAGGCTGACACTATTATTTTACAGGAAGGTGTCTTACTTAATGCAATTTCTTATATGCAAACTCCATTTGACATTCAGATTAAAATCAGCATAGAATGGCATTCAAATCCATTTGATGTGTGAAACAAAATATTCAAATAGAATAAAAAGTCATCTTGAAAGGAAAGATTATTGACTTAATTTACCCAAGGCAATGAGTTTCCTCACTTTTTTAAGTAGTCGACTAATCACATTTTACATTGAGGCAAAGAAAGTTATTATATTTCGATTAAAAGAAAATCCAATAACATGCACTCATAAACCATTAAAAATAACACCAGCACGGTGTGTTAAGAAAGTAAATAAGTGAACTCTGACTTCAAATCGTACTAAAACCTCCACTGAAGATTGCTGTGAGCTATTATACTTTGAAATTAGCGCGTGTCTCGGCAGTAGACCATGTCATTTAAACTTCACATCTAAACATCTCGTTGTTTACATAAGCAGGCCTCATCTCTGGCTTCTCCTCCCGGCGCTCATGCAGCTCCAAGGCTTTCTCTCTCTCTCTCTCTCTCTCTCTCTTTGTGTTGTTTTGAAACACTGATCATCTCTGATTAGGAGGAAATGCTTCCCTCCAGACATGTGGCATTTCACACTCATTATACCTAGCTGTGATCACGCCTCTTTTCTTTATCGCTAAAATCAGTCCTTTTCTCTCTTGTTCTGATTTCTTGTGTCTTTATAACAGAGACATCAACTCATTTATAAGGATTAACAGCCTATAGACTGGCACAGAAGGGGGATTTTGTGTGTGATTTTTTATTTTTTTATTTTTTTAATAAATCGCAGTGAGCCTCTTGTGTGGCTTGCAAAGTTGCTGCCTTTAGAGTATTCCAAATCAGTAGCTGTGAGTGTTATCTAAAATTAAAATTTGATGTTTTTGATAACTGAAATACAGCTAAAAATAAAATAAATATTAGATGAAAAACGTACACTTGAAAAGCTAGAAATGTTGCAACTAACTGAAACTGAAGTACTAAAATTACTAAAAAATGAAATAAAAATAAATGGCAATTAAATAAAATTACATAAAAACAAATAAAACTCACAACATTTAAAAACTAAAGAAGTTATGAGGTTGCATTTAAATGATTTAAATGATAATTTGTTGAAAATGTACTTACCTCAGGTCATTCAAGATGTTAATGAGTTTGTTTCCTCATCAGAACAGATTTGTAGAAATGTAGAAATACATCACTTGCACACTACTGGATCCTCAGCAGTGAATGGGTGCCGTCAGAACGAGAGTCCAAACAGCTGCTAAAAACACTACAATAATCCAAAAGTAGTCCAAGTAATCTACAAGCTGCATGTTTGCAGATACTTCAAGATGTTTTTAACTTCAAACTGTTGCTTCCCGCTAAAATATGAGTCTCTATCCATTATATTGCTTTCTCTAGTGAAAAGGTCATTTCGTCTGAATCAGGAGAGAAATATGCACAGATCAAGCACCATTTACAAATAATAATGAAAAAACTGTTGTAAACAAATTTGTTGGTGGATTTTGATGTGAGAGGAGAACAGGGGATAGACGTTTTCACTGGAGGTGAAGTGTTGTTGTGGATATATTTTGGCCAGAAGTGACAGTTTGAAGTTAATGATGTTTCTTACAAACACACAGATTTTCATTTCACAAGATGTTAAATGATGGACTGGAGTGGCGTGGATTACTTGTGGATTATTGTGATGTTTTTATCAGCTGTTTGGACTCTCGTTCTGACGGCACCCATTCACTGCAGAGCATCCATTGGTGAGCAAGTGATGACATTTGTCCAAATCTGATGAAGAAACAAACTCATCTACATCTTGGATGGCCTGGGGTTGAGTACATTTTCATTTTTTCAACTATTCCTTTGCTTTAGGATGCTTCCTTAGAAGGCAGCTGTCTATGTTGACAACAGATCACACAGCAGACACTCCACGCATCACTTTACAATCAGTCGAGTGACCCAAAGTGTTAGAAAAATCCCATTTATTAGCAAAAGCTAATTTAAGTTGTTACATTTAGATATTTAGACACATTTTACAGGTCATGACTATTGC